AGGGATGAGGTATGTTCCCTCTATCCTTGCTTTCTTGAGGGTTTTTTTTTTTTTTATCAAGAATGGATGTTGTACTTTGTCAAATGCTTTTTCTGTGTCTGTTAAGAGGATCGTATGGTTCTTATTCTTTATTTTATCAACGTGGTGTATTATATTGATTGATTTGCGAATATTGAACAATCCTTGCCACCCAGGAATAAATCCAACTTGATGGTTGTGAATGATTTTTTTGAATGTATTTTTGGATTCAATTTGCTTGTGTTTTATTGAGAGTTCTGCATCCATGTTCACTGGGGACATTGGCCTGTAGTCCTCCTTTTTAGTGGTGTCTTTATCTCGTTTTGGTATCAGGGTAATGCTAGCCTTATAGAATGAATATGGAAGCTTTCCTTCCTTTTCTATTTTTTGGAACAGTTTGAGAAGAATAGATATTAACTCCTCTCTAAATGTTTGGTAGAATTCCCCTGTGAGCCTTCTGGCCCTGGACTTCTGTTTGTTGGAATTTTCTTTTATTACTGATTCGGTTTCTTTGCTGGTTATCAGTTGGTTCCAGTTTTCTATTTCTTCCTTTTTCAAACTTGGTCGTTTATATGTTTCTAGGAATTATATGTTTCTACGTTGTCCAATTTGCTGGCATATAGTTTTTCATAATATTCTCATAATTTTTTGCATTTCTGTCATTTTATTTACTTGGGTCCTTTCTCTTTTCTTTTGATAAGTCTGTTAGAGATTTATCAATTTTATTAATTTTTTTTTTCAAAGAACCAGCTCCTGGTTTCATTGATTTATTCCCTTTTTTTTTAAGTTTCTATATCACTTATTTCTGCTCTGACCTTTATTATTTCCTTCCTTCTGCTGTTTTAAGCCTTCATTTGTATTTCTTTTTCTAGCTCCTCTGATGTAAGATTAGGTTGTTTGTTTGACATTTTTCTTGCTTTCTGAGGTAGACTATTGCTAAAAACTTCCCTCTTAGGACCACCTTTGCTATCCCAAAGGTTTTGGACTATTGTATTTTTCACTTTCATTTGTTTCCATGTATTTTTTATTTCTTCTTCAGTTTCCTGCTTGACCCATTTGTTGTTTAGTAGCATGTTGTTTAACCTCCATATATTTGTAGTCTTTCCGAATTTTTTCTTGTCGTTGACTTCAAGTTTCATAGTGTTGTGGTCAGAACAGGTGCATGGTATGATTTCAGTCTTTTGTATTTGTTGAGGCCTGCTTTGTGACTTAATATGTGATCTATTCTGGAGAATGTTCCATGTTCACTTGGTAAGAATGTGTATTCTGCTGCTTTAGGATGGAATGTTCTGAATATGTCTAGTAAGTCTACCTGGTCCTATTCAAAGCTATTGTTTCTTTGTTGATTTTCTGCTTAGATGATCTTTCCGTTAATGTAAGTGGGTTATTAAAATCTCCCATTACTGTGTTATTATCAATTAGTTCCTCTATGTTTTTATTGTTTTACATATCTGTGTGCTCCCATGTTGGGTGCATAAATATTTACAATTGTCATATCTTCTTGTTGAATTGTTCCCTTTATGATTATATAGTGCCCTACTTTGTCTCTTGTTACAGTCTTTGTTTTAAAGTCTAGTTTGTCTGAATAGAAGTATTGCTATTCTAGCTCTCTTTTGACATCCTTACATGTGATAAATATTTCTGCACCCCCTTACTTTCAATCTGTAGGTGGCTTTAGGTCTCAAATGAGTTTCTTGTAGGCAGCATCTAGATGGGTCTTGTTTTTTTGTGTTTATTTGTTTTTGTTTGTTTGGGGTTTTTTTATTATTACTATTATCATCCATTCTGACACTCTGTGTCTTTCGATTGGAGCCTTTAGTCCATTGATATTCAAAGCAATTATTGAGATATATGTTTACTGCCATTTTATTGCTTGCTCTGTCATTTTTTCTGGAGAGTATATCTTCTTGAAGGACTGGTGTAGTGGTGATGAATTCCTTTAACTTCTGCTTGTTTGGGAAACTCTTTGTCTTTCCTTTTATTGTCAATGTTAGCTTTGCTGCATAGAGTATTCTTGGCTGCAGATTTTTTGCATTCAGAACTTGGAATATATCATGCCACTCTCCTGGCTTGCCAGTTTTCTGTTGAAAAATCTCCTTTTAGCCTTATGGGTTTTCCCTTGTAAGTTAAGGATTTTGTCTTGTTGCCGTTTAGAAATTTTTCTCTGTCACTATATTTTTTAAATTTAATTACATGATATGTTGGTGTTAGCTTGCTCTTGTTGATTGTGTTGGGGTTTTCTGTGCCCCAGGATCTGGATGTTTCCTTCCCCAGACTAGGGAAATTTTTTGCTGTTATTTCTTGAAATAACTTTTCTGCACATTTTTTCCTCTCTTCTTCTTTTGGGACTCCTCTCCTATAAATGTTGTTATGTTTGACAGACTCACTGAGTTCCCTACATTTATTCTTGTGTTGCAAAATTCTTTCTCTCTCTTGTTCTGCTTCATTATTTTCCATTATTTTGTCTTCTAGGTCACTAACTTCTTCTTCTGTATCTTCTCCCAGCCTGCTGTTCATTGCATCAGGCCTGTTTCCAATCTTATGTATTGTATTCTTCATCTCTAATTGATTCCTTTTTAAACCGCTTTATCTCTGTTGTCAGGGTCTCACTAATGTCTTCTGCTCTTTTCTCAAGCCCAGTGAGTATTCTTATGATTTTTGCTTTAAATTCTTCATCAGGCATGTTACTTACATCTGTTTCACTTAGATCTCTGGCCATGGCCTTTTCTTGTTCTTTCATTTGGGAAAAAATTGTCTGTCTTGGCATTTTGTCTAAGTCTCTGCCTTCTTCTCTCTGTTAGAAAAACCACTTAGGTCTCCTACTCCTGAAAGTAATGGTTTTAAGAAAAAGATGGGGTGCCTGGGTGGCTCAGTGGGTTAAGCCTCTGCCTTTGGCTCCGGTCATGGTCTCAGAGTCCTGGGATTGAGCCCCACATTGGGCTCTCCACTTGGCAGAAACCTGCTTCCCCACCCCCAAGCCCCCATCTGCTTCTCTACCTACTTGTGATCTCTCTCTCTCTCTCTCTCTCTGTCAAATAAATAAATAAATAAAATCTTTAAAATAAAAAAAAAGAAAGAAGAAAAGAGGTCATGTAGTGCCCAGGGCCTAGTGCTTCAGGGAGTGTCTTCAGTGTGTGCTGTATACACTCTCTTCTTTTATTTTGGCTGCTCTATCCTTTAGGCCAATTGTCTACAGAGGCTCTCTTTGCCTGGTCTTGGCAGTGTTTGGTCCCTGGCCTGAATGTAGTGAGTTTTAACTAGGTGTGCTCTGGTCTTCTTGTGAAATGAGACCTGATACCAACTCCACCAGAACTGAGGCCCTGCAGAACTCTCAGTTTGGGAAACATGATTTGGGCATGGGTTTGTGCTGGTTTTCTGAGGGGAGGAGCCAGCCTCACTGGGACTAAGGGTAAGCTTGACTGAGAAGAGCTTGCCAGCCTGAGTGCAGGGGGTAGGGCTTGATCTAAGCAAGTTAGGCAGCCAGCTTAGGTATTGTACTGCTTCCAGCAGGAGGCTTTGTGTACAGAATGTTAAAATATTTTACCTATTACAAAAGGTTAAATTTTGTCAGTAATTGTCCTGATGGTACTAGAGGATGTATTTTTTACCATTTACTATTTTTGGATATTGTCATAGAATAATATTTTCAAGTTCCTGAAACTAAATATGACTCTGCCAATATGCCTAATGTTTAGGTCTTCAAATGTGGTATGTATGTGTGGAGGGGTATTTTAGTGAGTTTCTTTTAATGATAATGATATCTCAACACTATTCCATGGTTAGAAATTTTTTATCTGTATGGGTTTGGCAATTTAATGATGACTTGTTCTGTTTCCCTGTCATTTTCATTCTTCCTCTTCGTCATCGTCGTCGTCTTCTTCTTCTTCTTCTTCTTCTTCTTCTTCTTCTTCTTCTTCTATGCAGGACTTAAACTCACAACCCTGAGATCAAGACCTGAGCTGAGACCAAGAGTCTGATGCTTAATGGACTGAGCCACCCAAGCACCCACCCCTTCATTTTCATTCTTAAGTCAACTAGAAAGTCACTAAAACTGTATGATTTCATACTGGCATACAGTTGCAGTGATTGTCTTGCATGTGACCAGCTATTAGGTAAAGGTTGGCTCACATTCCTTGGATACTGTGTGTAGAACCTCACATTAGCAAGTTACATGGTAGGACTTGCTTTTTCTTGGTATTTATTAATATGGAGAACATTGTGACAACTATTTAATTTCATCTGCATATCTCATCTGATTATGCTGTGAGGCAAAATAGCAGGAAACCCCATTATTTGAGTCATTAACAATGAACTGGACAAAAGAATGTGTAATCGACTGTGGGCAATAATATGTGCATTGTTGGGGTTTAAATTAATTTGTCCCATCTGCTATAATTTCTATAAATCTGTCATGAATGACAAAAAAGAGTTACAACTTACTACTTTTCAGCCATTGATGTTTTGAAGTAGGTCAGGATCTGTGCTTTGTGGCCTTAGTTCACCCTTCACCTGAGTGATGATCTGTTTGTGATGGGGTAAATGGAGTAAGTAGAGTAAGACATATACAAATAGTGTCTAGGAGCCAATATATTTACATGTTATAGCTCCTCTTAACTGCACCTCTCCCTTTGCCAATATTTTGTACTTTTCTTCCAAGTCCCAAAAGTTTAATCTTTTCCAACATCAGCCCAGGATAAAACTCATTAACCCTCTTGTCCTCCTGTCTTTGGGAAACAGTGACCATAGCTTTGAAATGCTCTCTTCTTATTATATGTGTTGCCTGCCAACTCTCACAGGATCAGAACTTGCTGAAGTCTGGGAATGCAGATGCTGGTGGCCTCTGATTCACATCGACTGATTTCCTACAGGTGCCACTCCATTGATTTGTTACTAATAATATTATCAATTATGGAAATAGAGGTGGTATGATCAAAATTTACAAAGAATGGAGAGGTGAATAAGAATTATCAGTATAGGGAGAACAATATGGCGGATGGCGAGGAGCCGGAGAAGAAAAGAAGGAGAATAGAGGAGCTGCTGGCTGAGAAAATGGCTGTTGATGGTGGGTGTGGGGACACTGGAGACTGGGAAGGTCGCTGGAACCATGTAAAGAAGTTCCTCGAGCGATCTGGACCCTTCACACACCCTGATTTCGAACCGAGCACTGAATCTCTCCAGTTTTTGTTAGATACATGTAAAGTTCTAGTCATTGGAGCTGGTGGCTTAGGATGTGAGCTCCTGAAAAATCTGGCGTTGTCTGGTTTTAGACAGATTCATGTTATAGACATGGACACTATAGATGTTTCCAATCTAAATAGGCAGTTTTTATTTAGGCCCAAAGATGTTGGAAGACCTAAGGCTGAAGTTGCTGCAGAATTTCTGAATGACAGAGTTCCTAACTGCAATGTAGTTCCACATTTCAACAAGATTCAGGATTTTAATGACACTTTCTATCGACAATTTCATATAATTGTATGTGGACTGGACTCTATCATAGCCAGAAGATGGATAAATGGCATGCTGATATCTCTTCTGAATTATGAAGATGGTGTATTAGACCCAAGCTCCATTGTCCCTTTAATAGATGGGGGGACAGAAGGTTTTAAAGGAAATGCCCGGGTGATTCTGCCTGGAATGACTGCTTGTATTGAATGCACACTAGAACTGTATCCTCCACAGGTTAATTTTCCCATGTGCACCATTGCGTCTATGCCCAGGCTACCAGAACACTGTATTGAGTATGTAAGGATACTGCAGTGGCCCAAGGAGCAGCCTTTTGGAGAAGGAGTTCCATTAGATGGAGATGATCCTGATCATATTCAGTGGATTTTCCAAAAGTCCCTCGAGAGGGCATCACAATATAATATTAGGGGTGTGACCTATAGACTCACTCAAGGAGTAGTAAAACGAATCATTCCCGCAGTAGCTTCTACAAATGCAGTCATAGCAGCTGTGTGTGCCACTGAGGTTTTTAAAATAGCCACAAGTGCATATATTCCTCTTAATAATTACTTGGTATTCAATGATGTGGATGGACTATACACATACACATTTGAAGCAGAGAGAAAGGAAAACTGCCCAGCTTGTAGCCAGCTTCCTCAAAATATTCAGTTTTCTCCATCTGCTAAACTACAGGAGGTTTTGGATTATTTAACCAATAGTGCTTCTCTGCAGATGAAATCTCCAGCCATCACAGCTACATTAGAGGGAAAAAATAGAACACTTTACCTACAGTCAGTAACCTCTATTGAAGAACGAACAAGGCCAAATCTCTCCAAAACGTTGAAAGAATTGGGACTCGTTGATGGGCAAGAACTGGCAGTTGCTGATGTCACCACACCACAGACTGTACTATTCAAACTTCATTTTACTTCTTAAGGAAAATAAACTTGTACATAATAGAAAAAAAAAAAAAAAGAATTATCAGTATAGGGGCGCCTGGGTGGCTCAGTGGGTTAAGCCTCTGCCTTCAGCTCAGGTCATGATCTCAGGGTCCTGGGATCGAGCCCCGCATCGGGCTCTCTGCTCAGCAGGGAGCCTGCTTACTCCTCTCTCTCTGCCTGTCTCTCTGCCTGCTTGTGATCTCTCTCTGTCAACTAAATAAATAAAATCTTTAAAAAAAAAAAAAAAGAATTATCAGTATAGTTTAGGAGGTTGCTACTGTGGATGACTAGTCTTGATTGAAGGACTTCCCTGAATTATCTGGCACTGGGTTAGATGGGAAAACAGGAATAAAGAGGACGCATGACAAGGAAGTGGCAGAGTTCTAGTAAGATCTTCTGGGGTTTTTTTTGTTTGTTTTTAGATCTTCTGTTTTTAAAACCCATAATCTTTCCATCGCAAAATACTGCAGAGGGATGCCTGGATGGCTCACTCAATTGAGTGGCCAATTCTTGATTTTTGCTCAGGTCATGATCTCGAGGTCCTGGGTCAAGCCCCAGTATTTGGGCTCTGTGTTCAGCAAGGAGTCTGCTTGAGGATTTTCTCCCTTCCCCTCTCCCTCCGCCCCTTCCCCTGCTCTCACACGCTCTCTCTCAAATAAATCTTCTTAAAAAAAATACTGCAGGAAGCAGGAGTTTGCTTTAAAGACTGGTTACTCCATTTATTCTCACCTTGATTGTTGGGATTTTCTCCACCAGGCTCAGGCAACTCTGTTATCATCAACATTTACCACATGGCCCTGGGGAAGTTAAATACTCCTGGTGTTTCTGCAGCCTGATTTATCAGAATCTTTTTCAATTTAATTTTGAAAGAAGTTCTGCCCAAAATATCTTGATTGCCTTTTAGTACTTCGTTCTTCACAGTCTTCCTGCCTCTCAGACACTTGAGGTTTAGGATCCTTTTGGTAAGCAGATACATCACAGTGACCCTTTCTGGCCACACACCCACGGTATGATTATGCAAGGAAAAAACTGGTATAGCAAATGTGCACGGTTTTCCTCCTTGAGCAGGTCATTGGAAATCTGGCTACTTATGTTCATAGAGTAATTCCTTTTCTGTTCTTTGTTCCCAAAGAAAGAACACACAAAGCATATCTTGAATGATAAATAGAAAATTGAAGGAAACAGGAATAAGCATGAAGAGAGGCTCAGGTTTCTGCCAGCTTCTCAGAGTACATTAAAGATTCCCCTATCAGCCACATATCAGTCAAGACATAGGATTTAAGACATGTGCATATACTGGTGTTATAATCAAATAAAGCAGTGTGTTTTTCAAAAAAAGAAATATAAGTAATTCTGGATGTATCTTGTTCTATCATACTTTTGGTGTGTGTCTTGGGCAAGTCCTCGTATCTGTAGGAGCCTCAGTTTCCTCATTTGTGAGACTCTTCCTTGGGGTTCTTTTAAGGTACAGTTGTAGAACATGTGTCAGTACAGAACACAATACTCGATGCAGTCTCTTTCCTTCACCATAAGCTTATGTAAACTAAAGAGACTGAATGAGATGATCTTGAAGTTTCCTGGAAGTTCTAATATTCCTGCTAACCTCTAGACCTGTGGTGTCCAAAATGGGAGCCTACCATTCGAAATATGGCTGCTACAACTGAGCAATTTAATTTTTCATTTTAATTAATTTGTTTAAAGTTCTAAAACTGATGCACTGTAAAATACTTTCCCTTTAGTACAACTTTATTGTGCTTTAGACTGCCTTTAACTGTATTGCATCATAAGATGAATGCCATTTTTACAGTATGACTGTTGGCTTACGATGTTTCTAGTGGCTCATGAATAAATGTTTTACATCGATTTCATGTTGAAATGGTAATAGTTTAGATATAGTGAATGAAATAAAAGATATTACTGTAATTAATTTAACTCCTTTCTCTTAACTTTTTAAATGTGATTTCTAGAAAATGGGAAATTCCACATCCAGCTCATATTATATTTCAGTTGGACAGCACTGCTCCCGATGGCTCTGGAGGATGCCTCGATATGAGGGTTGACATTTGCAGCCCAGAAAACAGCTCTATATAAATCTGAAGAGTTAGAGGAAAGGTTCCCATTGTGTGCTTATTATGAGGCTGGGGTCAATCCCTTACTCTTTACTTGGTCCAGTTCCTTACTGAAGAGCTCTCAGGTAATAGATAACATTTACATTACCCCTCAACTTGAGTAACTGAGTGTGAATCCAGTCACTTAAAAGCTATTCTCAGTCAGTGAGACCCTGCAAATAATGCCCAATTCAGACAGTGCCTTGATTCCTCAGACTCTCCATAGGCAAGGTACTTCACATGCTCAATCTAGTTCTTAATTTTGGATTCTTGGCTCTTTTTTCCCCTGTTTTTTGAAATCCAGTAATTAATCCTTGAACCTACATCACCTCCATATTTTTCCTTAATTCCAACCTTGGTATTGTAATGAACACTGTGACATTACTGAGATACTTGTCTTATGTCCCTTGCCTAGAGCTGGATCCAAGAACTACTGAGCTGAATTTTCAGCAGGGATTTTTCTCTTGCCAAAGCCACACTGAATTGGTAAATAACTTGTGGCTTTTTTCTTTCTCACTTTGCAAATGCTGGCTCCATGAGAGCTCTGTGACAGCTGGGACCTTGTTTGTCCTCCAGGGCTTAAAGCAGCTGACTGTCATAGAAGTGTCCAGTAGATATTTTGACTGGGTAATTGGAAGCTAGGATGGTTTTTCCTAAGCACATATAACTTTTAGTATGATAATACCATCATAATAATAATTCACATTTGTCAAAGGCTTTGTAGTTGACACATGCATTCACATCCATTATCATATTTTATCTTCACATCGGCACCATACAGGGATTATTTCATGTTCTTCAGAGGCAGAGACAGAAGCTCAGAGAGGTGAGTAAACAGTGGGGCAGGAGTTGGAACTTCATGTCTTTTGATCACAGACCTATTTACTTTCCTATACTTACAGCAGCTTCTACCATCTGACTTCAGTGTTTGTGCATAATTGAGTAAACTTGCAGGGTGTGTTTGTAATGCTTGTCTTAATTAACTTGATGTTTATCATGATGTACCTATACTAGGCTGTGGGAAACTTGGTTTTCAAAATTGCTGATTCTCTCTCTTCATCCGAGTCATACGCATTTGGTCATTTTCCTGCTTTTCCTCTGGCTTCCAGAGAGTATATATACTACTATAATTTTAATTTCAATGAGTTTTTAGTTATTTTAAACTTATTCACCCTCTAGCTTAAATCAGAGATTCTGAAGTCATGTTCAGCTTCTCATTCTTGTCTTTCCCCAGCCTGCCACCAGATGCTATTGATTTCACTCTTAAATCCCTCCTTTCTGCACACTCTATGGGTACCCCCCTTGGTACCTCTTGATCTGATTATTTCATTATGGTAAGTTTGAGAGTTAAAAATTTTCTATACTAAAGAGTTTTCTAAAATTACCAGTAAGTGTCTTGATAAATAAGTTGAAACTTCCTTGCCATACTGGCTTTGGGATGTCACCTTACTTGAGGTCTATCTCTGTTCTAAGGCCTCCTAAATGGTTTTCCTATTTCCAACCAGTCCTCCTCCAATCTTTGCTAATCCATGTCTCCAGAGTGATCTTTTCACCATAGAAATGTGATTGCCATGCTCCTACTGCAAAGCCTTTGGATGAATTTCCACTGTGTGCATGATTAATGGTAACTAAACTCAGTGGAACTTTGATCATGGTCTTTTGTAGAGGAATCCCATATTATCTAATTAACTCTCTCTCTCTTCCTCACTTTACTCTCTTTAAACCCTGTATATCACAATGTTTCCTGAACACTCTGCATTTTTTTCTGCATCCAGATTTTTTTACATACAGTATTTCCTGGGCCTCTCATGCTTTTTTATGTCCATCATGTAAAATTCTGTTTACCTTCAAGGTTCAGCTTAGATTTCTCACCCATGCACTCTCTCTAATTCTCTTCTCTATCCTCCAGTAGCTCCCCTTCTAAAATAACTTGAATCATCCCTTCTACTTTCACTTCTAGAATACTGATATAATTGTCTATTTCTCCTCCGTCAGACTATGACATCTCAAGTCTGGAGACCTTGGCTTTTCTCCACGTGTGTTCTGTGCCTTGTTCTTAGTCCTAGTAGCCTTTCAGTAACTGAATAATTGACTAGAGGTTAGAATCCTAAATTTTCCTCTAGGTGTATACACTGAAATCCCAAAGCCATCTAGCCAGTGCAGGGCCACCAGCAGGCCAGAGTCTCATAATACAAATATCTTAATAGGATAAGACAGGCTGAAAACTGATTAAAAAAAAAAAAAAGTCATGCTAGTACATGTGTGAAAAATACATTTTTGCAAATGAAGTGTACTATTTTAGTGATTTTTTTGAAAGCTCAGCATTCAAAGTGTGTTGGATTATTATAAAGAACTGTTGAGGAGCTAAGATGACAAAGTAGTAGGAGGACCCTAGGCTTGCTTCATCCTTCAAACACAGCTGCATAAATACCAAATCATTCTGAAGACCCAAGAAATCAGTCTGAGGACTGACAGAACAAACTGCACAACTAGAGGGAGAGAAGAGGCCACACCATGAAAGATAGGAGGTGTGGAAATATGGTTTTGGGGAAGAAATAGATTGTAAGTACTCTGGAGGTAGCCCTGAGAGAGAGAGAGAGGAGCACACAGGGGAGTGTACAAGGAAAACACTTCCCCAAAGCCACTGACTGGGAAAATAAGAGAGGCTGATTTTCATGAGTTTTTATAACCAACAGAATAGTTTTAGAGGTCCATGGCATGGCTGGTATAGAGCCCTGAGGGTCCTACAGGGCTCCTGAGAGAAGACAGGCAGGTAACCCTAGGGGCAGATGGCACAGTCTGAGGATTACTGAAGACAAACTGGGAGAGAGACAGTTCCATCTTCTCGGAGCACATCTGAAAGAGGGGCCTTGCCTCTCTGAGGACTAAAGAGCCAGTGGGTAACATTTCCCT